TACAAAGTTCTCTCCCCCTCCCATTTCATCAGTTCCACACCCTCCACCCCCGAATTTCTCCTGGCCCAAACCCCGGGCTTTTTGCCCCTGGCGCACAGTGGCACTGAGGCAATGGTGCTGAAGATGAGGCTGGAGTGCACAGAGAGGTACAGGGAGGAATCTGTCACCCAAAGCCCCAACGATCCCCGTCCATCTCGAGTGAAATGGGATGGCAGCTTTCCCATTTCATCAGTTCCACACCCTCCACCCCCGAATTTCTCCTGGCCCAAACCCCGGGCTTTTTGCCCCTGGCGCACAGTGGCACTGAGGCAATGGTGCTGAAGATGAGGCTGGAGTGCACAGAGAGGTACAGGGAGGAATCTGTCACCCAAAGCCCCAACGATCCCCGTCCATCTCGAGTGAAATGGGATGGCAGCTTTGCTGAGCCAGGGGTTCTGTGGCACAGGCTTTGCTGGGTCCCTCGGCCCGTCTGGGCACGTCGCCTCGGTGCAGATGCACAGCCGCTGTGTTACCCGCCACGCCGAGAGCCGTGGCCACTGGCCGCCAAAAGCCTTTCTGGGCCTCTGACCTCCTACCGGGGAGCACAAGGGCAGCGCTGCAGTGGGGGCTCCGCCATGAAACCCTGCCAGGGTCCACAGCCTGGGGAGCAGGCCAGGGGTGCTCCGCAAACCAGGCTCAAAGGGGCTGCTGCTCTTACCATCGAACGGGATGGTCTGAAGCTTGAGCTGCTCCGTGTAGCTCTTGCGGAGGTAGTCGGCAGCCTCCCCGAACTCGGTCATGTCCCGCATTGACATGGTGCTGGCTGGGCAGCAGCAAAGAAAGACGCCAAAGACTTGGGAGCACTGCAAAGGAGGGAAGCAGAGAGAGGAGTCAGTCCAGAGACAGCTGCTCCAGCGAGGACAGCGAGGGTTTTCACACACGGCCCAGGAGGATAACGGCCGTGCAAAGAGCCCTGGCTCACCCAGGCTCCTGATTACGCGCCCGGTGCTCCTGCCGGCTCTGTCCCCACCCTCCTTG